TCCGTGCACACATCGACCATCGCAGCACGATCAACCACAAGACCTCTATCAATATAAATTATTAGTGTTTGATAACAAAATACTATAGTCTTGTTTTTATATGCAAATCTCCACCATATAAATAGCAGTTGATACAGCTATGGCTAAAACTAATCCTGACCTTGAAGACTAAACTACTAGAGTGAATAATAGTGAATACTAATAGCTAATTATTCGCTACTATTTTTTTTTTGCTTCGGATATCAACATGGACAGGGTACTAAAACCTAAAATTCTGGATCTAAACATTAAGGCCACCAGGAGAGAAAAAACATGGAATCATTAGTACCGACTATTTTAAAACTTCCTCAAGCATAGTGAAGGTAAGAATTTGGCTATTCTTATAAAATGTCGCCTGATGTATACGAACTATTCAGCGTATTTACAAACTCTGAAGAATCTATCCACATTCTAAATAGAACTTTCGCCCTAGCATGTACTTTCGCCAGGCATGTACTTGCAACCTGAACTAAACAGGATGGAGAACCATTGGATCAATATCTTTAAGCATTGTACTTTTATGGCGAAGGATTACAAATTATAAGATGTTATCGCTCAAGTTTTCAAAGCGGAAGCTGTTAGAGATGCCTTTATTTCTAGTTTATCCGTACCTCCTATTCAGCAGAGACGTTGAATATAAAACTCTCACCTTCACAGAAGTTGGAAATCATGTGCAAAGTGTGGAAAGGGATATCCTAAATACGGAAGTCTATTTTGGTGTTACACAAAGAAGTTATCAAACGGAGTCGGTATCGGAACCCCAGACTAACGCCTTAACTTCTCAGCAAGAGGAAAATTAAGAGGAACCGGACTCTCGGACATCCGCTACTAGCAAATCCCTTTTTAAAAGAAAGGTGCTTTTTCTACGAGGGCAATAGGCACCCTATAAGTAAGTGTCAGGCTCAAGGAACGAGTTGTTACAATTACAATAAAGAAGTTCATTTCACTAAAGTCTGTCGTTTAAAGTTTTCTGTTGCATTACCCGTCATGGACACCGTAACTACTGGCTTACAGGGATTTTCAAAAGCCACATTAAAATGTTTTGTGAACAAAGAAAGAAAGAAAAAAACTTACCTCGCTCGTAGATTCAGAAAGTAGTCATAGTTTTATCGACACTAATGTAACTCAGTCTATGGGTTTGGGCGTTAGACTTACTAAATCTACCTTCAGCATGGCTTCGTCTGACTTGTTATTAAAAACTGTAGGAAAATGTAAACGAATCTTACGGTGGGTCAAGAAACTTACAAAAATTTAATTTATCCTTAATGGATAATTTATGTATTGATGACAAGACAAAACTTTCAAGGCCTACACAAAAAATAAAATTTTGTAAAAGGGCAAGAGACCACCTCTAAAACTGAGTGAACAAGCTAGCATAAAGATTTCACCTGTGAAATCTCGAAGATATACTGGAGAAGAGGCGGCATTTATAAGCTAGTAAATAAAAAGCCTGTTGGTTTCAGATATCATTGATCCCAGTAAATCTCTATGGAGATCTAAAGTAGTTTTAAAAAAGGACGATGGTTTTGGAAATAGCAAAATATAGTCTGTACTGTAAACTAAGCATAAAAAAGTACTTATCGTCAAGTAATGCAGACAGTCCTTACACGGCTTTTGAAGCGGGTGGTAAATTGTATAATTTCAAAAGGATGCCGTTTGGAATCACAAAATAGAGTGGCTGGGTTTCAAAGAATTTTGGATGAAATACCCAAAAGGAAGACCTAAAGAGAACATTCGCGTATATAGATGATGTGACCGTCCGGTAAATAATAGAAAAGAAAGAATGAGCGAAAACAACAGGAAAATAAATAAAGAAACAAAGAAAGTCAAAAGAAAGAAAGAAAACAAAAATAAAAACGAAAATAACAAAAAAAGAAAGGAAGAAAGAAAGACAGAAACGGAAAAATTAATGGAATTGAGACAGGAATGAAGGAACGAACGAATGAATGAAGGAATGAAGGAAGGAAGGAATGAAGGAAGGACTGACTGATTGACTGACTCAAAAGAAACGTTTTATTATTCTTTACAGGCATTTAAACACTTTAGCTTTGTCCCTTTTTTTTAAATTCTTTTAGTTTTTATTTACGTACAAAACATATAAAAAGAACTGTCTAGCCTTGAAGTCCTGTTTTTTTTTAATTTATTATTGACTGCGTTTGGACAGAGGAGACATGACACTAACTTGGCAAAATTCAAAGAACTGACTGAAAAGTAAGGTATCATCTTAAATGATAATAAATCTATCTACAGAGAAACGAAAATAAAATTTCTGGGTTATGATTTAAGTAAAGGGACCCTTAAATGAGAACCTGAAAGGATGTTACCTCAGCAAGAACTTTCTCTCCGCCAGATAATATGAAAGATCAGAAGGAAATCATCGGAATGTTCTCTTATTACAGTCGCGTTGGATACGAAACTATTGGCTAAAAATTCACGCCTAAATAACAACATTATATTCAACTTATTTATTAAAATAAAAGATTCCTTTGAATAATTACAAAAATAGGAATTAGAATAGAGCTGTAGTACACACTCTAGACCAGGAAAACTCTTTGAAATTGAAACTGGTGCTAATTGCGTGAGCTTAGGTGAGACGCTAAATCAAGGAGGCATGCCTGTTGCCCAGAAGCTCTAAACCCCCTCTGAAACCACTCCCTAATAGAGAAAGAAGCTAATACGATTATCGAAGCTATCAGGGAATTAATTTATTACCTGAAAGGTAAATATTTTATTCTTGCCACGGACCAAAAAGCACTATCTTACATTTTCGATAAGCATAAAGCTAAAAAACGACAAAATTCATCGCTGGCGAATTGAATTTTCTACTTACAAATATGGTATCAGATATCGACATGACATCAAAAAGGCGTGCCTAGACCCGTTAATGAGAGTTAATTGCGCTTCTTTCGTAAATATCGACTTTAAGGAATTACATAATAATCTGTGTTAGTCTGGATTATCAAAAATGATGCACTTAATCAGGTCGAGAAATTTGCCCTACTCAACAGAGGAAATAAAGAGAATGTCTGAAAAATGTAATGTGCCGTCGAAAAGCCAAAATTTGTGAGAAGAGGAAGCAAATGAATCAAGGTCACTCAACCATTCGAAAGATTGAATATAGATTTCAAAGGACCGCTTCTTTCAAATCGAAGACGAAAGAAATATTTATTGACTATCGTTGATGAATGAAGTCGCTTTTGTGTGTAGGGACATGCTTACTACAACTGCATTGACTTACTTAAGTAAGTCATTTTAAATATTTGGTATGCACTATTATATACACCCCAATAGTGGACCTTGTTTTATGTCGGAAGAGATAAGAAGATTTTCTCAAGAGAAAGGAACAGCTGCTAGTAGATTTACTGTGTACAACCCAACGAGGAAACGGTGAAGGAGAGAAGCTGAACGACAATTAATTTAGCCTTAAAATTAAGAGTTTTATCCTTGTATCAATGGGAACCTGAGGCTCTCCGCTCGGTTCGTTCTTTACTGTGTATACCCACGAATTTACTCCTCATGAGCAGGTGTTTCCTTCTTTGAGAAGAACAAACCAATGCAAGGAAGGATTCAAAACCCTAGAATTTATTATTATACAAAATAAACAGCTCACATAACATAAAATATCCTAACTTGATGTGCATATTTTATAATTAATGTTCATATATATCATATTAGTATAATAAAAAAAATAAAATATAATAAATTAACCTCGTTTTCAATAATTTGATTTGACTTTGCAAAATTTGTTTATATCTAAACATCTAAAAAGAAAAAGAAAACATTTACTGTCATCTAATAAGGGAGAAACTTATACCTTAGGGGTGTAAGACAAGTGTGTGTCTTCTCATCTTCTTATTCAGCCTACACTGTGAGCCGATTCTGAGAGAACTAGAAGTCCTCTCAGGATTCATTATTGGCGCTCATAATCTTAAGAACATAAGATATGTAGACGACACAGTGTTGTTAGAAGACACAGGAAAGAAATTACAAAAACTACAGAAGTTATTGAAGGAAAGCTAGAAGAAAGGACTAAACATCAAATAGACAGAATGTATGGTTGTTAGCAAAAGAATGAGCCCAAAGTACGAATTTCAAATCGGAGAGATCAAAATCAAACATGAGCGGATATTTAAATATCTGAGAAGTGTTTTAACAGAAGACGACATTGAATCCGTCGGCGTTTTGGGATAACCAAATATTCCTTCCAAAAGCTAAACAGATTATTAAGAAATAAGAAAATTTCGCTAGAAACAAGGAAAAGAGTACTAAACTGATTTGTGATATCTGTCCTCTTCTATGGCAGTGAGTGCTGTGAGATGAAGAGGAAACATGAAGCAACAGAAATGTGGTTCAACAGGAGGATGCTGAGGATAGCATGGACCGAATATGTAAGCAACGACAAAAATTTGAAAAAATGTGAACAAAAAGGAAACTAATACTTAACATCAGAAAGAGATAGTTGAAGATTCTGGGACATATAATGAGGAAGGAAGGCTTGGAAAATCTGATACTCACGGGACAGACTGAGGGCAAGAGGGACAGAGAAAGACAAAGCGTAATTTACTTGATTGAGCTTGAGTTGATGAATGATTGAACAGGACTTAGGGGAAATAACAGAAAGAAAAAAGTGTATTAAGAGCTACAGAGTACAGGAAGTTGTGGAGGGCCATGATCCTCTACGTCCTGAGGGGAAGGCATATGACGAAGAAGAATGAACGAGAAGTGTGTACAGGTCTGAAATATTGGTATTAAAAATCCTTCTTTATGTGGGATCGAACTCTGATCTCTATCATCAGTGGTATATATATAAGACCTGTTCAACAATTAGTGAAGGAAATGTTCAAGAGAGACAAGGGAAGCAAAGGGATGTCCAGATAAAGATGTCAAAGAAAGAGGTGGAGATTTGTAAAAATAAAAAAAAATGAAAAACAAAAAAAGAGTTAGATGCGGTGGTGATAGCTTTAAGTTTGTGGTAGAGGCGGAAGTTGGCGCTGGTTATTGAATCGGGCCGAGAGTAGTGCATTGTGGGAAGCAGAGACCATAAAGTTGCGGTCACAATCACCACTGATTCGAGGGCGGTGAATAATATTTCCATATTCGCCTGGAAATGGCCCATAAAAATTAACTTTGCAACGGCAAAGAGGCGCTGATGATGTTGTAGATATGGGGGAAGACGCAATCCGTGTTAGGATAGAGGGTTGAAGCGATAGCCGAGGTAATGAAATGAGTAAAAGATGGGAGGCTCAAGGGTGGAGGAGCGTGGATATGGCGGAAGGAGGAAGGAGTATTTAAAGAAAAGCGTTCGCGAGAAATCAATAAGCGAAAAATAAAAGAAAAAAAAAACAGAGAACATTTAAAAAGAAAAAAAATGTGCAGACAGAATGATACAAAATATAAGGAACGTAGAGAAAAGAATGAAATGTTAAATATTCTCGACAGAAATAACAAAATAAAAAGAAATTAAATAAAGAAAGAAGAGAGCTAAAATGTTTTAGAATGAAGGAGAAAGCAAAAGACGCAGTTAGAAAAGAGATTTATAGAAGAAATACAATAGAAAATGTAATTTTGCAACGAATGAATGACAAAAAAAAAACGAATATTACATAAAGAAAAGTAAGCAAAGAAAGAATTGGTTAAAAAGTTCTTTAAAAAGAATTTATAATAGTGTGGAGAAAGAAAGAAAGAAAGAAAGAAAGAAATAAAGAAAGAAAGAAAGAAAGAAATATGGAAAGAAGGAAAGTAACAATGGGTATAAAAGAACGTTAAAACAACAAAAATAATTTAAAGGAAAGACAAAGTAAAGAAATAATAAAGTTTAAAAGAAAGAAAGAAAAAATAAAGAAAGAAATAAAGAAAGAAATAGAGAAATGAAGGAAGGAAGGAAGGAAAGGATGAAAGAAAATGGTTATGAAAGAACTTTAAAACAAAAAGTATGAAGTATAAGGAGGAAGATGGAAAGCAAGACTAAGGTTCAAAAGAAAGAAAGAAAAAAGAAAGAGAGAAAAATAAAGAAATAAATAAATAAAGAAAGAAGAAAACAATAGAATAAAAATAGGGTAGAGAAAGAAACGAAAGAATAAGTTTCGAAATGAAAGCGAGAAGGAAGAAACAAAAGGAAAGAAAGAAAGTAACCATGCGTATAAAATAACTTTCAAGCAACAAAAAATAAATTATAAGGACGAATAGCAAGAATAAGGTTCAAAAGAAAGAAAGAAAGAAAAGAAGAAGAAAATAATAGAATAAAAATACGGTAGAGATAGAAACGAAAGAATAAGGTTTAAAAAGAAAGAAAAATGGATTATAGGGAGGAGAAAGGAAAATTGAATAAGGTAAGACAGAAAGAAAGAAAGAAAGAAAGAAAGAAAGACGGAAAAAAGAAAGAAGTGAAAGAAGGAAAGAACACATGTAAAAATGGGTATAAAGGCACATTAAAACGTCAACAGAAATTAATTATAAGGAAGAGAAAAAAAGAAAGAAAGAATAAGGTTTAAAAGAAAGAAAGAAAGAAAAGAAGATAGCTATAAAAGAACTTTAAAAGAAAAAAGTATGAAATTTACGAAAGAAAGAAAGAAAGAAAGAAAGAAAGAAGGAAAGAAAGAAAGAAGGAAAGAAAGAAAGAAGATAAAGGATTAAAAGAAAGTAAGAAATTGATAAGAAAGAAAAATAGCTGAATAATGTCGGAAAGAACTAAATGAAACTTAAAGAAAGTTGATAAAAATGTGTATAAAGAAACTAATTTTTAAGCAAGAGACTAGCAACGTCGAGCCTGGTCAGTACCTAGATGGGTGACCGCTTGGGAATACCAGGTGCTGTAAGCTTGGATGTGCGGGTGGTATAATGGTCTTACTGCCACATCACGTTGAAACACCGTTTCCAGTACCATCACCGAAGTTAAGCAACGTCGAGTCTGATCAGTACGTAGATGGGTGACCGCTTGAGAATACCATGTGCGGTAAACTTGATAGTGTGGTTGGTATAATGCATAATGACTAGGAATTGTTAATCGGAGATCTGAGTTTCAATTCCAGTTGAGTTCGTTATATTCTCTAACGCGAATATACCATCTGATATTCTCGAACGGCCACACCCTCTACGTACTTTATACCTACTTTTGATCATTGATTTTCACTTCTAATGTTTCATTATATACAGCTTCCTTCCTTTTTATTCTTCCATATTTTGCTTTCTTTGTTATAATTTCTCTCCTTCTATAAATTCTTTTTCACACATGTTGAATATTGCATTTGTAATATTTCTCATCATTCTCTTTTTATTGGCACACGCGCACACACTCCTCCTTGACCTTCTGAATGGGAGGATAGGTATATCACTTGTTTCCTGTCTAAGTTTATGTTTCCACTTCCTTCTCCTGTCCTGGACATCATATATGATGTACAGGACAGTTTGGATAGTACACACGAAAATGCCCTGGACAGGCAAAGGGTTAATTCTAGTTCAAATCTATACTTCTAACGTCCGCCTATACTCTGAATTTTTACTATTTATTTACTCTTTTTACCACACAAGGAGTAGACTGATTCAACTCTTATCCGGTTCACAGTCCTTTCTTGGTCTTTTGAACAGGTGTAGAGGTTTATCCCTTGCTTCCTGTTTAGAACTGGCTTCTAAATTCGACTCCAGCACGAAACTACTAACGTCTACGTCTAAACTCTTTTCCTTGTTTCAGTAGGCCTTTGCATTTTAGTGGCTTTAACGCCTTGCATAAAAAAAAAACAACATTTGAAACAATCTCCCTATGGTAACAAAAGAGGCACCCAGCGTTTTGGGAAAGATTAAAAGTTAACTAATAAGTAAATCATTCAAAATTACACACAAAAAATACACGAGTGCTCTACAAAGTCCCAGCAATGCCCACACAAATTCGCGTCCGTTTAGTGATTGCGAAATACATAAAAGAGGCATTGAAGTGAATTGGTGTGATTTGGCGCGAATTGGATAGCGTGACGTTTCATCACGTGATCCGAGCGTCAGTACAGAGCAAAGTGGGTAAGCGGAAGAGGTGATTGGTGATCCATCATTTGAATAGATCATCGGCTTGGAAGGTACAATAAGACTTCCGTTTGGCCACCGCTCGGGGCAGACACACGCAAGCCGAGAAGCAGCCGGCATCGCACTCACTCAATATGGACATTAACATCAACATCAACCAAAAAAACAAAAAAAAAAAAAAGAAAGAAAAATTAAAAGCACCCATGAAAGTGAGAAATACTCCGCAGATAACTTGCACACTTTAAAACTAGCGAGAAGTTGTTGTATATAAATACATAAGAACATCTATAATTAAGTTTGTCTATATGCCTAACTTTAATTAACGCTGGATAATGTTTTTTCAAACTTAACTGGATGATTTTAAAATTAGATTTCAACTCAGTTTTTTATTTATATATTTCATTTTTTTTAGACACATATTTCGTATCCGATATTGTTTCGACACAAGTTTGGTAGGAATTGGTTGATTTTTTTAGCAGCATATTAACACGTCTATGGGTCATTTAAGGCCGAAATCTAAATATTTTGATCGCATTTGCCTGCCTTCAGCTACAGATAAATGTATTGTTGCTCATTTTATTATAAAATGTTTTGTTGTTAATTCTATTATAAAATGTATTGCTGGATACTTTGCTATATAGTACTGTTGGTCATTTTACTATAAAAATGTATTTTTAAACTTTCATAGTGTTTTAAACTTTCATAGTGTTTTTTTTTTCTTTTCTGTTGCTTTAAGGACGCTCGGTGGAGCAAAGGATAGTGATTCAGATTGAGACAATCGGGAAGCCGAGTTCGAATTCCTGTTGAATCCATTACATTCACTTACGTTCTAATACCCTTGGGAAAAGGTATGTATCCTCTAAGCTATAGGTAAATAGTAAGACATTCTATTGGGTGGTATCCGGACGGTTCTACTATTGTATAATATCTACCGAGTCATTTGTGACCTGCCGTAAATGACGATGTATTCATTATTGTTGGAAAATGCTCAGCAAAAACGATGAAACTTTTTTTCTTTTCTTTCTTTCTGCGGTAGACCAGTTACCATCCAAGGTTATAGAACCCGGTCTGTCCTGTTATTTACCCATAGCTGGGGGGAGAAGAATAGAATTTATCCATTTCCCAAGTGCACATAAGTGAATGTAATGGATTCAACTGGAAAGTCAGTCAGCCAGTTATGTGTCAGGCGTGATACACGTTTAGGCGATCATGTATATTTCAATACATGACTGAAGAGACAGTTTTTTTTCCCCCAGTAGTTTGCCATTTCTTTCTGCGGTAGACCAGTTGCCATCCAAGGCTATAGAACCCGGTTTGTTCTGTTATATACCCTTATATGGAGGGGAGAAAAGAAAATTCATACATTTCCCAGGGGCATTAAATATATCATACCATAGTAGAAAATGAATCGTAGATATCATACTATAGTAGAAAATGGACGGTAGATATCATTCTATAGTAGCGCCAAACGGTCTAGGTGAAGGTAACTTTGAATTCATAAACCGACCTGGAGAGGGTTGGACCTTGCCAGGTTATCTTACCAAAGAAACACCACTTGTGTCCCTACAACCCTGATGGGTCACTGGATTCGCGACCGCGAGATCGAGTGTTCTGTTTTTGTTCACTATTTTGACATAGCGGCGATCCTAATAGGTGGTACCACCTCGAGTAAGGACAGAACAGTTGAATAGAGTAGGCATCTATTTATCCCGCCAGAAAAAGTAACGCCCTGTCTGGTCAAAATTCATTTCATTGGTGGTGAGCTCTCCAGGACGCAGGCTTGACCAATGGTATAGGGAAGCCCTGCATTGTCCATGGCTCCAACCCTTGGCCGTACCGACACGATCCCAAAGAATACAGGGCATTTCATTTGGAGACAGCTTGGCTGCAGGAGTTGCCGGAAAGTTGTCAGTGTTGAGCGCCAACCGCCATCAGGGCTTTACATAAGTTTCTGTCTGGATTTACTTCCACAGTCTTTTCTGTGGTTTTGGATATGACCGGAAGTCAACGGAGGTTTAAAATCAGGGTTTTCCTTCCCCTAGACGGACTGCCTTTCGGTTCTGCCGAGCTCAATGTACACGTGATACTGGTTATGAGACGCCAGTTGTCCGCTTTCGCCCATTCTCAGGCTTCGAGATCGAATTAGTTGTCAGAGGTTATTTCAGGCGTATAACAGGGAAGCATTTTATAGACAATGCGATCTTGTCTTCACTATCACCCCGGCTATGACAACCTTTGGAACACATATAATGTACGTATATAGACATTATAATGACATCATAAGCTTTCGGTATTTTAGGCTTAAATCCTAACTTATATTTTCATATTTCTTTCTGGTATCTTCTCAAATTAACAAAGTTTTCGAATATTCCGTAATTTGTCTTGCTTTCTAGTGTTTTTGTTTACCTAATGTTTTATATATTAAAAAAAAAAATTTTTAGCTCCTAAAACACGTAAAAATGTTGAAATGTTAAGCGCAATTGGCCATAGATCACGTTACTTTTAACGCATCTTTATAGGAGAGAATTATCTTCATGTTTTTATAAAAATCAATTGGTATTTCGCTGGTAAAAATTGTGGCAAACCATCGCATTGAGTGTGTTGTTTCATTTATTAACTTAGTGTTGTAGCATACCTACGGACGATAGCATACCTCCGGGCAGAGAGGATCCCCAGAGGAGGCTATGTCGAAGAACAGAGTCTCGTCTCGGGAAACAACTACCGAGGTCTACGGGGAATTTTTGGCCGAGCCTACGAGCTCGGATACCACACATTAAATTAGGTCATGTGCCACATTTGACCGCGTGGGGCGGTTGGTAGATATCCTGCAGTTAGAAATTCGTCTCCAGCTGTGTTGGTTAAACTCTCTGCTTCCGGGTAAAGAGTATCCCCAGAAGAAGCTATGTCGAAAGGCAGAGTCTCATCTCTGTAAACAGCTATCCGAACCCGTTTTATACGCGTCTACGGGGATTTTTTTGCCGAGCCTACGAGCTCGGATACCACTCATTAAATTCGGCCTTGTGCCACATCTGACCGCTTAGTGCTGTTGGTAGATATCCTGCAGTCGGAGATTCATTGTGGAATTCACTTGAATCACTTCTAGCAGTTGACTACTACTACTACGCATCGCTGACGAATTGTTCTTGTCCTAAGTATTATCGTTTATTATCAACCTTGATTCGATTATTCTATACAGTAACCTTCTCTGGGTTACAACACTTAGACAAAGGTATATTGGCAGAACTATGATCCAGGAATCCCCTGTGATAATATAGGACCGGGTTTTCCTAGCCTATTATCGGTCCTTTTTTTTTTTACAATGATGTTCACTCTGAATAAGGACTTGGAACCACTCGAGTTGATTCGTACAGAACAAGAGGCACGGTTACATGTAGAAGATAACGGTTAACCCCATAATTGGACAGGTTAAGATAGTAGTGATTGAGTAAATATCTTCTTGGGAGTTGGGTCAACCTGCAGCTGTTCGCTGGAAGGACCTGCTTCACTGGAACTTACATCTCACCAAGAGGATACGAATGGAATGAGGTTCTCTATAATGTGCTTGGCAAAGTGAGTTTTAGCAGTGAAGGCTAGAACTGGTGGAACTAAGGAATGTCGTTCCTCTGAACACTTTCCATGGATATAGCGATATCGGAGTGAGAGGCTTTCGGTATTTCTTCTGTGAGAAGGTGGTTGTAGAATTCCTCATCCACAAGGACGTGTTTGGACCCTATCGAGAGAGGAAAGCAAAGACTAGGCAGATTCTGCGCATATGTGGCCGCAGTAGCTCATATTCGGTCGGATAGGGAAATTGTGAAGGCAGAGAATCCGTGGGTTACAAAAAAGGATGTTAAACAAATGAATAAAAACAGTTAAAATTAATAAAATCTAATTACAAAAAGATAAATTTAAATTAAATCAGATGACTAATGGCAAGCATATTAGATAATATATACACATCATTCTCTGAATTTCTGGAATAATTATTTCCACTATTAACATGTGGACTATTGTCTTCACCATTATTGTTGCTATCACGTTTCGGCCGATGTGTTTTCCTGTCTTCAGTAGGTGAATCAGAGCTTGTAGTAACTGAGTATTACTAAAAATAAGAACAAAACGAGATATATCTAAATATGGCCAATGGAACCTGAAGAGTCGTCTCCAAATAGATTAAATAAATTGTTCAGTTGGGAATTCGTTGTAGGTTATCCAGATCAATAAACACCGGATGAAGGGGACAACGGACAAAATGTTCTGATAAAAACAACAAAGATGAGGACAATAGTCCGAATGTTATTAGAGTAAATAACATATACAGTATATACTCGCGTATCATGCGACTTTTGAAGAGCTAATTTTGAAGCTAATTTGACTGCAGTAAATGGATATATAGTTTGGTCAACGGCGTAGCCAGGGTCAACAAATGAATTGCTATATTAAAAGTTATTTATATGTATTCCCGTCGCTAATTTTATATCTCGTGTAAGATGCGACCCTCTTAAAATTAGCTTCAAAATTAGGACTTCAAAAGTTGCATGATACGCGAGTATCTACGAGACATTAATTTCAACTATACAACTGATAAGTTTATTGTAGACTTTTTCTGGTTATTTAATTATTATTATCCTTCCTTTTTCCCAATAGGAATAGATAGCCGCCTAGATTTTTGAGGTGAGGAATTGTAATTAGTTATATTATTTACATTATTCGGACAGTTGTCCTCATCATTATCCAAGTCCATGAGGGCACATGGCTCATTGGATAAATCTTTGGTTGGATCCAGTGATTTGATCCAAGGAGTTGTGAGTTCAGTACCTGGTTACTCCAGTGGTGGACAAAAACTTGGAGAGATGAGTTAAAGGAAGATAATTGAAACACCCGGAAATGGCACAGCTCGTGAAACTAGAACAATCTACTTCGGTGGACGAAATAAAGGGCTCAGTTCAAAATTCCAGCCAGACTATTTGAACGGGAGTCGAGGTTTATGCCTTGTTTTACTGTTTAGGAACAGGTTTCAGGTAAATTCTACTACTTCTCTATTCTTCGAACGTTTCCGCCTAAAGTCTGATTTTTCTATTAATTTAAAAATAATTTTTACCATAATAGGTGCAGATATG